TGCATTTTGTTTGGTTTAAAAAAAATAAAAAACAGCCTTGGCACAGAAAAACAACAAAATAAAACATTAGAAAAATGAACTACAGTGCAGAATGGGTGTGGATTTGAATTCACAGATCAGCAGTACAGCTTCCTCCTGACCGAACTCCTCACATTGGCTTCTTTTCAACTAAAATGTGCAACATCGTCACCCATTTTCAGAAACAATTCTTCACAAATACAGGAAAAAGGAGTTCTGTCACTCTTTGGAATCATTGTCCACGTTTTTTGGTATGGTGATATCAGACTGCCTACTCCCTACTTTCCCTTATTGCCTTTGGATAAGCCTGCCAGTGTCTTTGTGGTCTCCTTCAGAGCCATCTGAAGGGCTTGGATAGCCTGATCGTGGCCTTCTAGCTTGGCCGCTCTGCTCTCCAGACCCTCCACCATGCTGGTGAGGCCCTGCAGCTGCTCCGGCTTCACGCTGCTGCTGCTGCTGTCCTCCAGAGCAGCCAGCCTGCTCTTCATCTCCTCCACCTGCTGACCCAGGCTGGAGTCCTTCGAAGACAGCTTGGTCTGGGCACCGCCAACAGCAGCCATGTTGGACTGCAGCTCCCCCAGACTGATTTTCAGTGCCTCCATCTCCTGCTCGATGCCACTCTTGACCTTCTCCACAGCCTGGCCTTGTGCAGCTAGCACGCTGTCTTGAGTGTCACATTTGGCGAGCAGCGATTCCACTCTGGAGGCGATGTCTGACACCGATGCCGACAGGGAGTCTCCGCTCTCCTCTGATGTTTTGACTCTGGCTTCCAGGTCTTCTGATCTTCTCAGGATCTGGTCCGCCGCTGCGTTCACTTGCTTCTCCACGTGACTGGCGGCGACGACGGCCTGCTCCACGCCGCTCTCCAGCGCCGAGCTTTTGTCCTTCAGAGCCTGAACGTCAGACTCTGCAGCAGACAGCGAATTCCTCAGATTCCCCACCGCCTCTTGCACCACTGACCTCACAGTTTCCACTTCCTGAGAGAGTGAAGCCACTTCCTGGTTACGAGTCTGGAGCTCTGACCTCACGGCGCCCACCTGCTCCCTGAAGGAGTCTGCCGATATGCCTCCTGCCTCATTGGCTGCTTTGATTTCAGCCACAGCTTCCACGATGGCGGAGAGCTCCTGTTTGACCAGCGCGGGGTCCTCCATGTCCCCCAGGCGGGCCTTGAGGTCGGATAGCTGGCCCTGCGTCTCGTCCTGAGCTTCGGTGAACTCCGACACGCTGGCCTTGATGGACTGGCTCACCTCCGCCAGGCGCTCCTCCACCGTCTTCTCCAGGGAAGAGAAGTCAATCTCTCGGGCCTCCTTCACCTCCTTGATGCCCTCTGAAAGGTCCCTGAGCAAGTCGTTCTGGAGCCTCTGAAGGGCCTCCTCCACCTTCCTGGTCTCCACCTCACCTCTCTTCATCCGGGCGATTGACCCTTCTAGCTCCACCCGTGTGATGCCCAGTGATGACTCCAGCCCGTCCACAATACTGCTCAAAGACTCCACCTGTAGACAACAGGAAAACATGCATCAGTGTATGTTTTCAACTGACATACACTATCATCAAAACACTTGTGCATTATTAGCTAAGACACACATGGCTATTTATAGCATATCTATTTGTAGCATTTATAGCACATCAAGATATATTTATTATTATTAGTCTTCACTGAAAAACTCAACTTTTGATTGACTAATGAAATGTTTTATCCCAACAAATGTCACATAAATGTATTAGGTTAGTTGAAAGCAATAATATTAAGTAATACTTTTAATTTTAACTTAATATTATTTTCGACTAACCTAATACAGTTATGTGAAATCTGTTGACTTAAGACATTTAATCAAAGTCAATGATTCAGTGTTTCAGTGTATGTGCAAATTACATTTTGATGAACGCAGAAGTTAATTTTACCTTAAAAGATGTGTGGTTAAAAACGTACAGTTTTAAGAAAAGATGACACAAGATTTGTCTTTTCTTATGGCTGTGTATTTTAGCACAATGTAAATATTCACTATGCAATCATTGCTCAAATTATGAGTGCTTTTGTGAAGTGAGCTCTGACCCAAAGGAAACACAACAAAGCTGTAAATGTGCATGGGCGGAGTTAAGTCATCAGTCACCACTGAAATGGGGTGACATATGAGTAAAGAAAAAGCTGACTGAACATAGTTTACACTAGAGATACACGGTGTACTTTTACATTCAAGAAGTGAGGAGAGAATGAATAAACTGCGAGAGTGGGCTTCAATTATATAGGTTCTGTTTTTTATTAAGTACATGGGGACCTTTTATGATCTTTGTCTTTAACAAAGTCTTTATTAATATTATATATGTATAAGATATAGATGTTTTATATTACCTGAAGACATTGAACACGTTTGTTTTACAAGTCTTTATGCATTTTTTATTCCAGCAAAAGTGTATTGATGATCAGAGATGACTTGTTCTGCACATTAAGAAAGGAGGTTGTCCCTTTCCCTGCTAGACACAACTCATCCTTATCTTCCCTGCATCTTAAGAATCAGCAAAGGCATATTTTTCTAAAAGAACATCCTAAAATATATATAAACATTTCGAAATGATTTATTAATATCAGGTCTGTTTACTTATTGGTCGTGTGTTGAATAAAAAGTGAGTTCCCTAAACCCATCACTGGTCACCAAACCTACCCAACCCCCAACAGTGAGTACATCCAGTACACCAACTGCATAATCTTATGCAATGTCTAACAACAACAATGCATTGCCCATATAGTGTACACTTTGTACTTCACTGAGAATACTGTGAACATTGTGTGTAAAAGTGTTCAGACACATTTCATTCTGCTTTTCATTGATTCACTTCATTTTCTTCCTACCTGTTGAACGACACTGTCCATTTTTACGCTCAGCTCTCCGTCGTGCCGTGCGCTGTGCTCATGTCTGACGCTGATCTGCCGCACTTCTTCCACAACTTGTTGTAAATAAACAGCAGCAAACCCTACAGCGCCTATTAGCCCGATATAAAACGCTATTGTTGCAAAAAGGCCGAGGTAGCTCCCTGACGGTGGCCCCTGAGGTGAGGGGCCACTCACCCCGTTGTTGTTGCTGCTGCTGCTGCTCTTTGGGCTTTTCTTGGGCACATCCTCCGGGCTGGATGCGGCGCTCTTCTCGCTGTTCTTGTTTCGGTTTTTCGCCGTCATCTTGGATGGGAGCTGGCTCAGGAGAGTGTGAGTGTGATGTGAGAGCTGCTGCTGGTTTTTGCAGTCGTGGATGGAGAATGTTTCCAGTCCAGGCCCACTAAGACGACCCGGCAGCGTATCAGGGAGCGCGTCGTGTCTTTCCACGGGGTTTCTAGTGTTGAGGTATGCAGATGGGGGCTGTCCCATGCAAAACTCAGGCTCTGTATGGGTCTACTTAAATGACATAATAAAACACAACAGCACAATGAATGACTTCTACTGCTCGTTTACGTTGTTGTTGTTGTTGCTCTATGTTTACATCAGATCAGCCATAGTATTTTTTTTTATTACACACCCAAAACAAGAATGAAAGTTTTGCAGAAGCATCTCTCACTGGAACAACATTTCCTTAAAGAGGGTTTTTAGCAACTTTTGGAAGTTTTCAAAGTGTTCCACAGGATCTTAATAAGCAAAAGCACTGGTAAGAGAAGTGAGAAAATGTCACTCGATTTAGTAAAAGACAAAAGATGCACCCCCAAGCCAAAGAGTTGCACCAACAGTGCATCATTCTCCAAAGTGCATCAATAGAGCCTACTGAATCTGAAAGTGACATAAACCGTGTTTTATATGTTTCTTTCACCATGACACTTTTCCACGAATGCTGTAACACTTCTTAAACACTGAAGACTGATGCAAACTTCCTGCAAGCGGTGCAAGGAGGGGCTGCTCCCCTCGCTCCTCCTTGCATACGTGGCATCTGCAGGCTGCTGTGAACTCCCATGCAACATCTCTGCACACAGAGATTATCACACACACACAGCCTTTATTTACGCTGACAAATAAGTGAAAAGACTAAGGAGTTTCAATTACATTTTCTTTATTATAAATGTGGCTGTTGCACGTTGGAGGTCTGTAGGTGGAGGCAATTTAATGAACACAATGTTCTTTTCATAGGAATCTTTCTTTTTTAGTATATCAATGATAAAAAGAGCACCAATATTAGTTTTGTGCACGTCATTTAGTTGTTCATTTAAAATTGCTTTATTATAAATGTACCAATGGTATTGCTATACTGTGCCAAATTGTTTGGTATTAGTTTTATAAAATTGCCTCATGTGCAAATTCCTCTAAGGTTTATTAGAACAATCTAGTTATTTGTTTCCAGTCATTATAGTTGCAGTCAACAAATAGTATTTACATCCTCTGTTTAAACACTAGGTGTCACTAAAAGAGCGTTTTATGGCGAAAGCAAACAGCACAGACAACCGTCTGCAGTCATATCCCCAAAGTGATTTAGGCAATGTAACAATGTCCAACTGTTGAAACAATAACACCGTAAAAAATACATTATGATATACTTTTATGGATTAAGAACATTACACATTAGCTCCAGCTTTACCAGCTGCAGAATTAAAAGTATGTACCCACTAATGCATCACTGTTTATAACCAAGATAAATAACATATTTAAAGTGTCCCTTCTGCATAATGATTACCGTACTTTGACTTTAGGCACTTTATGTTTATATGGACGCTTATACTTGCGTACTTTTTCTTTATTGTAATTAGTAATGCAGGCCTGTGTTTCAAACTATTTCTATGCTGTGGCCTTACGAATTATTCTTAAGTATAGGTTGTAAATACTTCCTCCACAACAATGTCAAAAAATAGTTTTCAAATGGTTCGAGTGTGTATAATGAACTATAAATAGATGTTTATATACAGTACAGCCTGTGATAAATATCTACGTTTACGCCTATCTACATATTCAGGGAGGGGTTTCCTAGCAGACCCTGAACGCATCATGACGCCCCGCCTAGACGCCGTGACAACAGACGCTCCTCGCGACGCGCTGCCCAGGTGTTCGTTGTGTTGCAGAGATATCCGGACCGTTTCGGAGCTTTATCAGTGGATCATCACGACATGGCCTAACTCGATATTCTTTGTCCATGAGCCCGGCTGTCACTCGGACGTCTGAGATGCCGTCTTTCCACACAAACTCCCTCATCTCTCTGAGAACAGCGGGAACACCGTTAACATGAAGACTGACACGGGGGTGATAATTTGAACCGTTTGTGTTTATAACTCGAGAGGGAGAAGCTAGCAGGGAGCTAGCTCGGATATCGGTATTGTGAAGCCATGGCTGGACTCATCAAGAAGCAGATCCTGAAGCATCTCTCCAGGTCAGTGCGCAGCGGGGTTAACAGACAGAGACAGTGAGACACCCTAGTCAACTGTCAGACTGACGATAGCTAGCTAACACCAAAAAGTCACAAACCAAATGTAACCTTTTCTGAACATGAATTGATACATTTCCTCTTGGATTTTAATAAGTTACCCCACATTCCTGCTATTTGTCAGACTGTCAGTTTCATTTTCATCCCTCGTAACCCTCACTGACCTGAGACGTGGCTAACTGAAGCTAACTAGCTAACACTGGGGTTAGCTAGTAAGGAGCTAATCCCTCACCTTTTGCTTTAGCAGGTTGAACCAGTCCAGTGTTCGAGTCAGATTGTTTAAAACAAACCATCTCAGCCTAAGTCCTAAAGGCAGTTTATCATACAACATCGTGGTTGCTAATACCCAATCTGGTTGAAAAATAAATCACATACTAATGATGTAATAAGACTTGAATTTGACAGAAGTCATTGGGTAAATGAGAAGGCAGTGACATGTACTGTGTATTGTAGTGCAAGGTACAGGTTTGTTCACACTGCTTTAAACCCTGCTTATCTGCTCTTTACACCTCTTTACATACTTTACATGGAGCCTCAGAACCCAACACAAGATCATTTAGAGGGACACTGCTATACTGCCTCCTTAATCCAACATTTGACAGCTTTTTGAGGCGCCTTTCGTGTATGAAATAATAGTAATAATGTACAGATTGATGAACCTAACAGTGGTTCGGGATCTGTTTTAATGGCGCTACCAGTGGCTAAGTAAGGCCCCATATATTTATTTTTTAATGTCTAGCTGTTATAGGCAGCATTCAGCTTGTACCGGTTGCCATGCATTATTTATTGTTTTCCACTGTCCCTCAAGGCACTTTCAATGGACTACTTCCTGGTTTTCTTCCGGAGATAAAGCTACAGAGATGTAACACTGTTTCCTCCCACACTAACCTGCTACTGACCTACAACAGAGCACCTTCAGACAGAACAGTGTATTGAATAGGATCATTTTGGCAGTATACTAAACTTTAGGTGGACAACTTTTACATGGAATATAAGAAATGAGAGCTGTCACATCTATATAGCAGCTTACAGATGACTAAATACATCATAGCCTCATTGGTATGCAGGTGGACTGGCTTCTATTCTTGGAAAGAAAAAGCACCAAGATGATGTGGTTGTTGAGAGAAGTCTTTGTGATGAGGTGTGATTAGTTAGTCCTTTTAATGGTCCATACCATAATGGTTTAAAGGGTTGCTTTGTCCTTCACACAATGCCATTTGTCAGCCTGTAAGTGGCATGCCCTTCATTGTCCTTGTTCTCTAAAGTGTGTGTGTGTGTGTGTGTGTGTGTGTGTGTGTGTGTGTGTGTGTGTGTGTGTGTGTGTGTGTGTGTGTGTGTGTGTGTGTGATGCACAAGTGTCTCGCACAAGTGTCTCTGCACATGACTGTGCATGCCCTCAGCTGCATTAGCATCAACATTGACAGAAAGTGACTGTGAGAGTAGTGATATGTGACGTCATCTTTCTTTGGGCTCGCCATCTGATCTGCTTCGTCCTGGCCTCACTGGTCTGGCACTGAGAGGACGCTCGCCTGTCTGACAGTCAGCCAATCCTGCGCCTCTCAGGTGGGATGATGTCACGGTAAAAGTGTTGATGTCAGAATGTCAAATCAGCATCACCTTATGTCCTCTTTTACTGTATGGGTGTAAATATAGTGAGAGTACAATGCACGCTTGAATTATTCAGCTTGAGGATGGGTTACAGGTTTAGTTCAGTTTTTTTATGGAAGTAAGCTTGTATGAGGTTGTTGTTTTATATAGTGTATTATTACCTACAGTAAATGGCGGTTAGCATGCACCCAGTTTGGAAAAGAAGGAAGCCTTTTTTTGGTGGTGAAACCATATTTTTCTCCTGATCACATCCTCAGCAGTACATTGCTTTGCTTCCGTGCCAGTTTCTGTCTGCTTCTCCAAACTGAAGGCGTGCAGGCCACCATCCACTGTAGATACTACACTATGGGTGGATAAGTGTACTATACAACCCTAACACAAAGAATCCGAACCATTCCTTTAAAGGTTTCCCCTGCTCAGTTGCTGCTTGGTCAGCACCAGCCAGGAATAGTGAACCCTGCTGAGCTCCATTATTCATACACAGTGTAGGTGTGCTTACACAGCTACAGGTTATGTTGTGAGTGTCAACATGTCAGCTCAGCCTCCACGCTGAACTCGTACAGAAGACACACGCCAGTTTTAATACTTTCTGTCACCAGGACACCATCTTTACAGCTCATGGACGTCTGCAATGGATTCTCCTCCTCTGGACGAGACATGTGCACTGAGGCCTTCACGACATGTACCAACTGTTACAGGAAGCAATGAGTGGTACTTCCCATGTGCAAGGATGAGTTTGTTAATAATAAGTGACAAGGCTGAATTGTTGGCATGCATTGGATTTTCTAACATGAGTGTATCGATGAAGACGTTCAAACTCAGGTAGCCCCTGGGGGTAGTTTGAATGACACGGTGTGTTTGTGGGCATTACAGACAGATTTAGATTATCGACAAGAGCCTTCTGGCCCACAGCCAGACAGACAAGATCCTATTACACACATTACACACACGCATTTAGATTGACGTTGAAATGGCTAAACGATGGTAAACATGCCTGGTCACATTCTCTCTTCTTTGTTCCCTCTGAAGAGTGATTTCTTTCTTACTTTCACACACAGTCTAAAGGTCAGCTCCAGCTTCAGAGCTGAAACATGGAGCTGGGAGATATTCAGAGCCAGGAGCCTAATTCCAAGTGTTCAAGTTGAAGATTAAGACTCAAACTTTGGTCTTGCTACAGAGATAATGGATTCCCATATGGAGCTCTGCAGCGATTGTTTTACTCTCTTCCATCTTACCTACCTAGATCCATCTTTCTCTTTTCTGTGATTCTATTTCCTTTTAATCTTGATATTGATTAATGCTTTCAAAGCGGCAATGTTTTTTTTTTAAATTGTTGCTTCATCTAATCGTAATACACATTTGATGATATCATTTGGCAATCTGCCAAAGCTCAAGATGATGTGCTCACATGTCATTTTTGACAAACAAACCGTTAATCCAACAATATTTATATAGAAATAAAGTTGTGAATTGAGCAGCAATACCTCACTTTTAACAAGATATATGTGGCATGTTTGGTATTTCTGCTTGAGGAATAAATCAATCTGATCTGTCAATCAATGTATTGGTTAATGGCTATTTCATTTTAGCTCTATGCATTGATGAGATTTCTATTTTCTTTTTAGGCAGATTGAAAAAAGAAGGTTATGCAGGTCATCTTTAAGTATCTCCATAATTTGTTCAAACATCCTAATGTTGTTGTTATGGACCCAAACAAATGTCCCCCTCCCCCTATTTATCACGTTTTGGGCCCTTAATATATATATATATTATTGCTTTGAAACCTCCCCTGGCTATCCTCTCCATACCTTCCTGATTAGAGTAAATGACTACTTATTAACGTCACAAGACCACGGCACAACAGTCCTGCAAACTCGGCATAATCTACATCTTCAGTCCCAGAGGAATGTGGTAGAGGGAGATTTGCTTGATGTGCATAAGTCAAAGCTGTTGAAAGACAAATGTACACAGAAAGGGCCCCAAAGAACGAAGCTGATCACGACCAGCTTCTAATAGACAGAGTGCATGACCTGGGAGATTAGCTGTACATTCAGGAGGGTATGAGATTTAACACAATGGCTTGAGTTTAGCCCCGCCCACCTCCTCTGCTTTTTCGGTTTTTATGTTGAATGTGAAGCATTATAGTGCAGTTTGAATCTGTCAGTGGTGCTTTCAGCATTTTGAAAGATGATTCAATTGGTTTCAGGAAATGTTATGACCGCCAAATGATCCCACAAGAATCGCATCCATTAACTTGTCATCAGTAGAGAGGAGACTGGTAAATATAGGGAAGACTTTAAAACTCTGAGTCAGCTGACGTTGAGCAGAAGGGATTGTAATGCCAGTGTTAAACCGTGTTATCCATTACGTGCATATATCACACGTCTTTTCTGAGATGTAGTGCCCATTGCAGTGCGAGAGACTCTTTCCATCCTGCAGTTTCTGTGAGATGAGGCACCGTAGAAATCAACTCCACTATTCCCAGCGTTAGCTCACAGCTGGTGGGAAGGCTATTATAGCATGAGTCACGACTGAGTGTCTGGCTGTGGGTGTCTCATCAGTGAGATATGAAGCACTTGTGTGTGTGTGTGTGTGTGTGTGACATTTGACCAGGGTCCCTTCAGGCCTTGGCATGCTCCTCTGCAGCTACAGACTGTTTTTCCCTTCACACCAAGCTTTGCTCCGCCATGAATGTCCCAGCTCTCTGGGGCCTGCCAATGTAAACTGGCTTCACTCTGAGAGGTGGCCTGTTGACATGTGTGGAGGTGGAGTATTGTGTACAGCTTTCCATGTGTTTGTCTTTGCAACTCGCTGATTGTAAGCTTGAGAGTAATTCATATAATCTCTCCTAATGATAACTTGGAGGTTACTTTTTAATAACTGTTCTGTAGGGACCGGAGCGTGATGTATTTTTGTCAAATAAACAAACCCTTTGGCTTCAATATCAGAGCAGTGCAGACTGCTGGCACTGCAGAACAATCAAAAGGCACCTTGTGTGCACCACCTATAACTATAAAATAATGGAAATATAACAATAAAAACACCTGGACTTTGCTTTTTGCTCTTTTTAAAAACTAAATAAGCAATGCATTTAGATCCTACAGGAAGTGATAAATGGTTCTTGTTATGTACCGTCATTCACACTTAAGAGGTCAACAGTAAATTCCTCAGGATGAGACTATTTTTAATGTGAATTTTAGGTAAAGGTTGTGGACAACAACAACACCAACTGGTAATTAGGAGAAGTTTGCACACTTGGGTGGTTGTTACACTGCTGGCCTATACCAGGAGTGCAACAAATACATTAAACGTATCCCTGACTGGCAATACAAATATATTTGGAAATATTGGATTACTTTTTAATGAATAGCATTTGAGAGTTCCTTTTTAAAATGAAGGCGGTTGACACCATTGTATTAAACAAAAGAGCTAAGGATTTTAGGAACATATACGTGTCATTTATTTGAATTAGCTCGATTGTCTGAGTGTGCCACATTGACCACGGGCATGCTGTTAACTTCAGTCGCTGTGGAATCAAATGTCTTGCTATCATTATTCTACTGTCGACATTCACTGTGCTAACGAAGGATTTAAAGGTCACATTCTCCCTCTCTGTTGTTGAGCCAAGCCTGTTGCTCGGTCAAATGAGCACTGGCAGGAAAGAATGGGCCAACATCCCTTTTCTTTTTTCTTCTTCTTGGAAAACCACACTCCTAAATCCCAGAGCAGTGCCAGAGGATGTCTCCTCTTTCTTTTATATTTAGTGTTTGTGTTTTTTTTTCTTCTCTTTATTCAAGTCTCTATTTTTGTTGCTACGGTCTTGGTTGCTATAACAAGCTGGCTTTCTGTTTGAGTCACTCTGGCCATCTTTGCTCATGCTCCTCTCTTGCTGGCACTGATGTCATCAGGCTGCGCCACAAACGCACCATCAGGGCACGGAAAAGTGTGTTTCCTTTTCCACAGACATCAGCATTTAAAGAGTGGTTTGTTGCTATGGTGAAACGTTGCACGCTCATCCCACAGTTGCTAACTACTTCAAGTGGATTTACACACAACATCTATGTTTTTGATGAGTATTCTTTTGTAATCTATTGCCCTTAAAAAGGACATCTTTAACAAATGGACAATTCAGAGCTTATACACAGTATGTTCCTCAGCTTTCAAATAAAAACCGAATGTTTCTAGGTCAAATGTCTAAATCACCCACCAACAGCTTATAGCCCACAACCTGGTTTTGCATATGACATGTATAATTCAACAGTAACTGAACAGATTAATTCCTTTCAAACTGCATTTGTAACACCATTCTCGTTTCATATCATTGCAATTTGAACTGCAAAGATAACCTTTACCAATCTCTTTTGGAAAATTGCCATGACCCAGAAAACGGCACCAGGTTGAAATGCACTTTTACAGAGAGGAATGTGGCCATGGATTTTCACTGTTGAGTAGTTAATATGCCCTCAGACAGGTAGACAGGCCCCTCTCCAGCCAGTAGCTAGCTCTAATCTCTTTTATGGGCTGGATTTGGTCCGCTGAACCCGGCCCTGCTGACTGGAATAATGAAAGGAGAAAGATGACGGTGTGTGAACTTAATACTCTTGTTGTTCTCAGTAATGAGTAGGATCTGTCATTGTAACTCAGCTTTAGTAGTCCATTAAACATCGGATCAACAACATATTATAAGAGAGGGTTTATTACTTTGGGAGAAGGGGAGAGGAAGAGAGGTGACCCCGGGAAGAATCCAGAGAAGGAGTGAGAGAGCTGATGTGAAGCTAGCTGCTTGATACTTGATCGGCAGCAGGAATGAATATTTCACTGCTCACAAGGCTGAGACACTCCAGCACCAACACACACCTCTCAGAGACAGACTGTGTGTTTCTGTCCCTGAGTGTGTGTGTATGCCAACGTGAGCCCATATTCAAATTGTGTTTTTGTTTGTGAGGGAGTGTTTTTGTTGTCTTGTTCCACTGAGTTTGTGTTTGTCTGCCTGCTGCTGAATAATAAAGGACACCCAACATGTTGAAGTACAGAGGAATCTAACTGTGAAAGGGGAAGTTGTTGAATGGAAAGAAACAGGAATTTGAAACGTGTGCAGCGGAACCATAAAGTGTTGCTTTTATGGGGCAAAGTGTATTTCACACTGCAGATACTGAGAGTCTCTGTGCACTTTGCTACGTCTTCCATCAGGGAACACAGACCCTTTGTCTCCCTAAAAGTATCCAGTTACTGAGTGACTCCATACATCAGCACTTTTTGACATTTGCCTTGCGAGGTCTTCTTGCTGCACCTGTGACAGTCATTATAATATCAATACATATTTATCATGTCACAGATTGAAGACTGTGGGGTTCTTGTCAGTTAGAGAAATCAATATTACCCCCATTAGAAGAGGTTCTCTTTGCCCAATCTGCAGTTTTATTATCTACCCATTCTGCTAATTATTAACCAATAATCAAACTGTTAGCCGAAAACACTAAGTTCATGGACACTGTCTTTGTATGTTCAATGGTATTTACTTAAGCTAAATAGCTAATATATTTTCCACACCATATCTTTTCATCTTACAGAGACTTTACAATATGTGTACACAGCATTTACTCATTAGAGAGGTTATACATATCAATAAAAAGCACCTTATCATCTAAGTGAGGCTTGAGTACACTTTCTGTGAACACACAAAGATATTCTGTCCATTTCCAGTATGGATGTGACAGACGGCAATTATCCTGAGACTACCACTGTACAATCTCCTTCTTACTTTCTATAAATCCTATACATTGCATCTTTGGATTTTTTCATTATTAAAACGGAATAACTAAGAACCTTGATCCTTCCTTTCCCCTCTCATAGTCAGATGATGTGGTAACTATGGAAACCTAGCAAACAAGTCTAAATAAAGAGGAAAACATGCTTTTTAATATGGGGTTTCTGTTATTTCCATATACAGTGGGGCAAAAAACTATTTAGTCAGCCACCAATTGCGCAAGTTCTCTCACTTAAAAAGATGAGAGAGGCCTGTAATTTTCATCCTAGGTGCACTTCAACTATGAGAGACAAAATTGGGGGAAAGAATCCAGGAAATCACATTGTCGGATTTTTAATGAATTAATTGGTAAATTCCTCTGTAAAATAAGTATTTGGTCACCGACAAACAAACAAGATTTCTGGCTCTCACAGACCTGTAACTTCTTCTTTAAGAGCCTCCTCTGTCCTCCACTTGTTAACTGCATTAATGGCACCTGTTTGAACTCGTTATCAGTATAAAAGACACCTGTCCACAGCCTCAAACAGTCACACTCCAAACTCCACTATGGCCAAGACCAAAGAGCTGTCAAAGGACACCAGAAACAAAATTGTAGACCTGCACCAGGCTGGGAAGACTGAATCTGCAATAGGTAAGCAGCTTGGTGTGAAGAAATCAACTGTGGGAGCAATTATTAGAAAATGAAAGACATACAAGACCACTGATAATCTCCCTCGATCTGGGGCTCCACGCAAGATCTCACCCCGTGGGGTCAAAATGATCACAAGAACGGTGAGCAAAAATCCCAGAACCACACGGGGGGACAATGACCTGCAGAGAGCTGGGACCAAAGTAACAAAGGCTACCATCAGTAACACACTACGCCGCAAGGGACTCAAATCCTGCAGTGCCAGACGTGTCCCCCTGCTTAAGCCAGTACATGTCCAGGCCCGTCTGAAGTTTGCTAGAGAGCATTTAGATGATCAGAAGAGGATTGGGAGAATGTCATATGGTCAGATGAAACCAAAATAAACTTTTTGTAAAAACTCAACAGAGTGTTTGGAGGAGAAAGAATGCTGAGTTGCATCCAAAGAACACCATACCTACTGTGAACATGGGGGTGGAAACATCATGCTTTGGGGCTGTTTTTCTGCAAAGGGACCAGGACGACTGATCCGTGTAAAGGAAAGAATGAATGGGGCCATGTATCGTGAGATTTTGAGTGACAACCTCCTTCCATCAGCAAGGGCATTGAAGATGAAACGTGGCTGGGTCTTTCAGCATGACAATGATCCCAAACACACCGCCCGGGCAACGAAGGAGTGGCTTCGTAAGAAGCATTTCAAGGTCCTGGAGTGGCCTAGCCAGTCTCCAGATCTCAACCCCATAGAAAATCTTTGGAGGGAGTTGAAAGTCTGTGTTGCCCAGCGACAGCCCCAAAACATCACTGCTCTAGAGGAGATCTGCATGGAGGAATGGGCCAAAATACCAGCAACAGTGTGAAAACCTTGTGAAGACTTACAGAAAACGTTTGACCTCTGTCATTGCCAACAAAGGGTATATAACAAAGTATTGAGATGAACTTTTGTTATTAACCAAATACTTATTTTCCACCATAATTTGCAAATAAATTCTTTAAAAATCAGACAATGTGATTTTCTGGATTTTTTTTTTTTCTCACTCTGTCTCTCATATTTGAGGTATACCTAGGATGAAAATGACAGGCCTCTCATCTTTTTAAGTGGGAGAACTTGCACAATTGGTGGCTGACTAAATACTTTTTTGCCCCACTGTACTTGTAGTTTGTGTCGTTGTCTCGTATCATGTCTTTAACAGCAATGTATAACCTTACATGAAAGGCTCATTTTGAGTGTGCTATTAAAAATATGTGGGTTTCGTTCTTAAGTATAATTTGCCTGTGATTAATAGTTATTGCCTGGAATTTTTGTTTGAGTTGCTTTGGACAGGCCCCTCTCTGTTCCCCTCCAGAACATCAAGTCTAACAGTTGGGGTTTGTTTCGCCGTCATGGTGCTTGCCAAGAACCTGTATCTATAAATAGTCCCAGGCTCAAAGCTGCACTTCTTCTCGTCTGCGTCTCCTAGGTTTGCTAAGAACCTGTCGCCGGACAAGATCAACCTGAGCACGCTGAAGGGGGAGGGCCAGATGACCAACCTGGAGCTGGACGAGGAGGTTCTGCAGAGCCTGCTGGACCTGCCCACCTGGCTCGCCATTAACCGCGTCGAGTGCAACAAGGCCGCCATCAGGGTGAGGAACCTGTCATGTGTTGAGTTTAAGGATTCTTAAAGGGATAGTTTGACAATTCTTTGCCGTCTTTTTTTGTTTCTTTTGTGATATAGCAATTACAGGAGAAGTGCATACAAATACAGTGTCACGAATACACACACGAGAGTAAAGAGCATTTAGAAGACAAATGACCAATAGAGACCAGAACAAACCGGGTAATGGGTAAATAGGTAATGCAACTTCAACCTAAAACAAAAGCAAAACAATAAAAAACAAATGAAATGTGCTTTGTGGCAGCTAGGGGAATGTAATATTGATACCACTTTAACATAAATATGAAGCTACAGTTTGTTAGCTTAGCATAAAGACTGGAAACTAAACAGCTAACCTGTCCCTGTTCAAATGTACCAACCCGTACCTCCAAAGCTCACTACATAACATTTTATATATTTTTCTTGGAAAGACGCAGTAACTTTCTTTGCTCGTTGCCTAGCAACTGCTGATAGATAAGAGATAGCCTGGCAAGTAACCCTTTGTGAAATGTTTATTTTATTTAAACCTGAAAAAAATGTGTATGTGTTTCCCCCCTAATTCTAGTGTTTCCTCTAAGCTTCCGGCAGTAGCTTTATGTGGTATCAGTCTTATCTTAATTGCTGCCAGAAAGCAAATAGGCATTTTTCAGTCAAACTTTACATCCCATTCAAGCTTTATCCCTCGAAGGGAAATATTACAACTGATGAACAACGATACGATTTGTTTTATCTTTAAAATAATGTACACATCGATTTAACATAGTTTTATTTCAGGCCTAAATTAAATAAACCCAGGAAATTGCAAAACATATTGTGTTTATATATTCAGACAGGCTGATTTTTTTTTTTTATCAAGCCAACGTGTAGATTCAAGTTAACACCTGTCAGGTACACTTTTAATTACTCTTTAAACACACGCACGCACACGCACACGCACACGCACACGCACTCGCACTCGCACAGACTCTCTGATGCACCCAATGTGGTCTTAGCCCATTTCCATGTATGGGAGCATAACACTGACACACCCTGGAAACGGGGAATGACGCAGCGTACAGTCATTTGCTTCGTCACTGGACTTTTTTAGTCAACGTTCCACCTTTTATTTTCCTCCTCCAATTCATATTTTTTTTCTCTGTACTTTCCTAAATCTGTTCTCAACCTATACAAATCTGTCACTTTGTTTAATCTCCATTTTGTCATTTTTCTCTCTTTCTCTTAACGTTTACTGCTGTGAGATATCTCTACTCAACATACTTGCTGTGTCATTGCCAGTGTGTTGAGAACTATAATACCCTCATCCTCACAGCATCAGATTTCTCAGTGAGCTGTGAAGCTGTTAAATTGAAACCCGTGGTACTGCCTGGCTGCAGTGGAAAGCGCATTACAGTGTTAACTGATAAACTGGTAGCAACATTTTACAAAGGAGAACAGATTTCAATCCCACTTCCTCACCTCGTTGTGTTCTTTTGTCCTCCTGTTGCAAAAAGACAGTCACACATATAAATGAATAGTTGCTTTATTGATGATTCATAAATACATATATAAATGGTTCTGCAGTGATGTCTCAAAGTGACAGGCTTAAGTTAACAGCCCTACTAGCACCTCCTAGCATTTCTACAACAGAGGCAAGCTGAATATAATGTGACTCTAATTCAATTACAGCAGCAAATCTTTGATTCTTGATTCATGACTTCTCAAAGAACGAGTCGCTTTGTAGAAAACTCTGCGAGTGAACATAAGCATTTCATCTCTCCTGCTATATAATTTGACATGGCCAGGAATCATGAGGCTGAGGATTAATGGAAGTGCCACTAAGTCTGGTCTCATTGATTTCTCTTTTTCCTTCATCTCCGATTTACTGCACCTTGTCTGCTGTTTTCTCATGATTTAATTCTGTACAATGTGGTTGCATTTATTCAATTTTACATCCCATTAAATGGTATTTTAGCTTATCCGTTTCAGAGCACAAAGGTCCCATGCCTGCTGTACGGGTCAGAATACGGCTGAGAGGCTGAGCCACTCTGTTTTCATTCACAGATACCATGGACAAAGTTGAAGACTCACCCAATCTCTTTGGTAAGTTTCAACCACTACACACATTTAAAACTGGTCATGAGAACTTTTTTCTTTCTACATGTATGGTCATCAAATCATCCAAAATTAGATTTACAAACAAGATTTTACAATGTACTGTATTTGGACAAATTAGCCACCTGTCCTGTTACATCATTTACTTATCGTCCATCAAAACAATCACAAGGTGAAGAGCAGGAAGCCACTGAAGGTGTTGAAGTAGTAGCCGTCGTCGTAGAGGACTCTGTTTGCGTAGAGCTGCACGAACACGCTGTCTCCGGCCTCCAGCTGCACCACCGCCGCGTTGGTGGCGCTGTCGTGGCTGTCCTCGCCTTCTGTGTCCCAGGTGGACACGATCTTCTGAGTGTTCATCATCAGGGACAGCACAGAGTTGGGCTGCCCGGAGTTGTTGTTGTACATGGTGTAGCTGAAGTAGTACATCCCCCGGACCATGGCGGTGAAGATGCCCGTGGCGGGGTTGTACCCACTGCCGATGTTGGAGAGGATTCTCTGATACTTCAGCGGCATGTCCTTCTCCACCGGACCAGCTGTGCTTCCCAGAGCGGCGGTGAAAGCTATCTTTGCCGTGACTGCAGAAGAAGCGTCCGCCAGCGCTTTCAGCTTCTCGTCCTGAGCCAGGTTTATCTTTATGAGATCCTCCGCCTGGGTTTTGTAGGCATTCAGGTTGGCTTGGACGGTGGCCATCTGCTGCATCATGTTCCCCAGGTTTTGCTGGAGGCTGCTCTGTGTCTCCGTGGCGGCTGTCAGCCTCTCCCTCATGGCAGCCACCTCGCTGAGCAAGGCGCAGGTGTCGGGCTGACAGATGGCCATGCTGCCCCCGGTCCCCAGGTGGCTGTAATTCCCAGCGCACAGACCTGTAGAAACCGACAACAACAAGAGGAATATGTGCTCCATTTTTACTCGTTGACACAAAACCTGATTACTGCGTCTGGTCCTCAGTCCTCATATATATACTCCCGACACCTGGTGTTTCGCAACATGTCGGGCTTGGCAATCTGTATTGATGTATTTTATAAGATATTGCAACAAACATATCAGGGGAACACAAAACTATCACCACACTATTTGAAAGAGATTAAGCGTTTAATCACAACCACACAGTGGGCAGCATATTTAATGGATGACAATAGCACTTTGCTGTTAGTCACCCTCCTGAAGAACACAATGTTATCACTCCACCAACAAAGGCAAGGAAATATTATACAAATACTGCCTAAAGGTGGCACGCACGGAGAAGAGAGGCCTGCTGTGTCACGACTTTGATCAATGTGAGAATAAAGGCAAAATACTTCAAGGTTTTATCTTGCGGGCACTTGCGTATCAGTAAACAACATCCAGGAGGACTCAACATCTCCAGGGGAAACGGCTAAACAGGCTGCAACACCCTTTTTTATCAATTGAACTTTACTACAAATCTTATTGTTATGACACAATACACCTCCCACAACCAAAAAACAAAAAATGACTAATGAATGAATGACTAAGCAATGGAAGAGAGTGGTATTCCCATTAATACTCTGAATATCCACGTTTAAAGTGGATGTTCTCTGTGATTAAAGTGTTCAATTTACTAGAAAAATTGGTTTATGGGTCTACTGCCGAATCAATAGCTAAGAAAACTGTTTTACGAAGACATCTGTTGGTTGAGAAGCTAATCCTGACTTGCTTGCAGACGTTGGATAAAGTGGTGATGGAGATGAGCACCTGCGACGAGCCCCGTCCTCCTAATGGCCCGTCGCCCATAGCAACAGCATCAGGACAAAGGTAAGCACTGCTGATGTTTCTGTTAACTCTTTGTACCTCCACCATCTGCACTTTGGTTCAGAGCATCCTTTCCCTGCCTGGATTATATAACGATTTGGTTCACACAAGTTTGAGTACATTTGGAAACAGTTTTATTCGTATGATAATTAGAGGTAAGGTTTATGATCTAGATCAGGGGTTTTTAAAACTCATTTTAGTTCAGGGGCCACATACAGCTTAATTTGATCTCAAGTGGGCCAGACCAGTAACATCTTAGCGTTATAACCTATAAATAACGACAACTCCAAATGGTTTCCTTTTTGTTTTAGTGCAAAAAAGTACATCCTGAAAATGTTCACATTTAATGAACTATCTTTTGACAAAACTTAAGTGCAATTTCAAAAATGGTATGCCTCCAGTTTATCATTAACACATGTGCATTACAACTCACAGATCACAGTGTATCTGCAAAGGCTAACAACATTTAGTCACAGGTATCTGGAACTGAACCATATTTAACTTGTCAAGATTTAGAAATGATTTTACATCACATTAATCCTGACAACCAGAACTGGCACACCTCCATAAAAACTATTAAGGAAGAAGGTGAAGTTATCCCCTGCCTTGTAAATGTATAACATTTAAACATACATAATACATAAAAGTCATTGTGTCACATTTACAGCTTAGTGATTGAGTACTGTAGTGCACCCTGTTGCTAGGCACCACTTATCACCTTGTTTACCAAACTCTCTCTCCACCCGTCTGTCTACTCTGCAGTGAATATGGCTTTGCTGAAAAGGTGGTGGAGGGCATATCGCTGTCCATCAACTCCATTGTCATCAGGATCAGTGCCAAGGCCTTCAACGCCTCCTTCGAGCTTTCGCAGCTGCAGGTCTACAGCGTCAACACCAGCTGGAGCATCAGCGACCTGCGCTTCACCCGCATCCAGGACCCTCAGAGGGGGGAGGTCCGTGTTCATTTACTCACTTATCTGAAAGTCTAAAAGGATGTTGTTTTGTATTTATTTTTTGTAACGCCATACCTGTTTGGTTCAGATCCTGACGTTTAAAGAGATCAGCTGGCAGATGATCCGCATCGAGGCGGACGCCATCCAGAGCGCCGAGCACGAGATGCTGAGCGCCCCCATCCGCCTCATCACCAACCAGTCCAAGATCAGAGTGACTCTCAAGAGACGGGTCAGACACACACACACACACACACACACACACACACACACACACACACACACACACACACACACACACACACACACACACAGACACCCAATCATTAATTTTATAAAGTTTGATTGATCATGTTAAAAACCCAAACTGCTCTAAGTAACCTTTTTGACTGTGAACAATAATCCCTCTGTGTGGCCTCACAGGCTGCAGGGCAAAAAGCAGCAATTCATCAGTGTGAATTCAAACAAAAGACACTACTAAGTTTTGGAAATTAAATATAATGCAGCAGAAAAACACATAAGGGCCTTTTTGTTTGCGCTCTGCGAAAGCAATTAACCCCATTGGTTTTCCTCAGGCTTTTCAGAACTGCTGAATAAAGCATTTAACACAAACCTTTCTCTCCAAAACGTGCTGTCAGTTCAGCTTAGTACAGTTCAATTTGATTCATCCCGACGGTATTAAACAAACACGTCACACAATAAGGGATTTTTTTCTACATGTTCCATTAGTGGGAGCTCTCGGGCTTCTGCCACCTGCATAATGCATGTTTATACTAACTGCTCTTCCTGCTACAGATTAAGGACTGTAACGTGGTGGCCTCCAAGCTGATCCTCGTCCTGGACGACCTGCTCTGGGTGCTCACCGACTCCCAGCTCAAAGCCATGGTGCAGTACGCCAAGTCTCTGAGCGAGGCCATGGAGAAGTCAGCGCAGCAGAGGAAGAGCATGGCCACCGAAGAGCAGGTAAACACAAGGCTGACTCAAACAAGTACATATTTTAAACAAACACAGTGACTTCATCCAGGAACCGTCATACCTCAAATATATTGTAATCCCTTATTGCCCCTCTATAGCTTACTTGCCAGCAGTGTGAACCCGGAAATGTTGAGTACCCCAAGGTTTTATGTTAGAAAGGTATACAGTAGTAAGGGTCATTTTCACAATTGACATAATTTGCTTTAATTAGCATAGAATTGCTGGAAAATGGCTTGGACAATTTTGGAGTGGTTTTTGAGGATGTTGAATCAATTTATGAAATTTTCAGGAAAAGAGAAGGCAGTTTCAACCAGAAAGTTGCCATATTTGTACACCCAGCTTATTTTGATGAATTTTGGGGTTGATTTATAAATTTTTAGGGGACTAAAAATGGACACATCCTCAATTTACCAAAATTGTTCCAAATCAGCCAAGCTTGCTATTGTCTGCATATGCTATTTAATGCTAATTACCGCATATTATGCTAATTGTGCATATTGCCCAACAAATGCAAGTTAGCATCAGGCAGTTTCTCTATGCTGGAGACCTGTGTATACATTTGTAACATAAAACTGTGGGGTACTCAACATTTCAGGGTTCACTATATGACTCTATAACCTGGCTAATGGACTACTCTGGCTTTACGCTCCCGACTGCAGCTCTTTTAGCAGTGCCCAGAGTCCACACAACTAGATAATGTGTCCGAGCGTTCAGCTACCAAGCTCCTTTTCTCTGGAACCAACTTCCTGTTTATATTGGGGAGGCAAACAGTATCCCACATTTTAGTTTTTTGCAGACCTCCCTTTTTAATAAAGCCTATAGTTAGAGCTGGTTCCAGATGACTTTATGTTTGTCCTCCTGAGTCCTACATGTTATGGTATTTGTTTTGTTGTATTTTATCTTGTATTATTTTTATCTATTTCATCCTGCGTTTTTATTATTTTATTATAATGTTATTTATCTGTTAACACTGTTATCTACATTTGTTAATCTGTAAAGCCCACTGAGGTGGTTTATGTTATTGGGCAATAGAAATAAACTTTGATTTGAACTTTGATCCCCATATAGAGATAACATTGCTCCCAGTCCAGGTCCTAATGCCCCCCCCCCCCCCCTCTGAAAAAGCCAAGTCACGGTCTGATTGTTTGTCCTTGTGTCCATGGAAATGATGTCAGATCTGCCTGCACCATCTTCCTCCCTCTCTGTTGCCGGCAGTGTCTTTCAGTCTGTCCTATATTGTTGCCTCACAAACACTGTCAAAATGCACATATTGATTGCCCACACAAATTCACAGCTATACAGATCACATAAAACATACAGTGGTCCATTTGTTATCTGTAGTTTGGTCTGATACGCCATCTGCTGGAAGAATGAAATACTGCATGATTCAGCTGTTGTAAGAACCAAATTCACCCATATACAAAATACGAATTTTAAGTATAGGTCTCAATACAGGGACATCGTTTAAAACACAAATACCACTGCTACAAGCATCGGAAAAAAACAATCCTTGGGGGAACATTTCTTTACAATCACATTTTATAGCACCTTTTCCCATGCAGCAGGAGACGTTCGTACAGAAAAACCTCCTATGATGCAAATCCTCCATCTATCTGCCCCTGAACATGATCCTAAATATCCTGAAGTCAATTCAATCATTTCTTTCCTTCCAGGTTTGACTACAGATTGACATTCTTCTGCACCGCAAAACTTCAACACTAACCTAGTTTCTGTGTCTCTTTGTGTTCCCCAGGTGTCCTCAGCCCCCCCCTCAGCCCAGCAGGTGCGCACCCAGCAGGCGTCCTCAGCAGCGGACCAGGGTGCCACCATGGCCAAGCTGTTCAGCGCCTATGACGTGTGCGAGACGTCCCACCACCTGCAGATCACACACCTCGACCTGCACATCTGCGACGACATCCAGGCTAAGGACAAAGGTAGCACATGCACTGATATACATGTACTGTACATTATAGTGTATATTTATGCACATGCAAATACACAGGGACAGTGACATATATAATTCCAGGGGCACAGAAAAGTCCAGAAATGTCCGAACTCATTCATTCACTTGGCTTTCTCAATGAAAAGCTTTAACTGACTTGTTTCTGTCTTTCTTTCTTCTGTGCAGTAGCCACTAAGAGAATAACAGGTGGAGCAATGCAGCTTTCCTTCAGCTCCATCACTTTGGACTACTACCCTTTCCACAGAGCAGGTATGAATTACCACCTTGAATTAAAGGTGGGGTATGTCATTTTGGAGAAACCAGCTCGAGTGCGCTTGAATTTGCTCTCTACAAACTCACTGCAAAAGTGCCTGAAATGTGATGATTGTTGTTTTAAAAAAAAATCGATATTCTAGTAAGCCAATGTATAATGACTGTTTCTAAAACATAACATAAAAGACTCAACCTTCTATATTTGTTGATTGTATTGCATTAGAGGATAAAAAAAGGTAGAATAAATACTACCAAAACAAGTTAGCACGTGTAAATTAAAAGACAGAAAGATGCAGCTTAGGATATTCAGTTTGTTTCAAAATCATAGATATTCACAAATGTACCTCTTCTATTTGTCCTTCTCTCCGCCCTCTCTTCAGGGGACCCTTGTGTTCACTGGATGCATTACAGCGAGGCCACAAAGACCAGAGAGGGCTGGGCTCGCAGTCTGCTCGATGAGTTCAATTCCAACGTGGAGATGTTAAAGACCACCGTTCGAGATCAGCAGGGCCCTCCCCCCGCGCACCCTTCCCCACAGCACGGTAAACACACACACCTCCGGGTGGTTATATTTTCTGTATCTCCTGGCACACACTCACACAGCACATCATCCCTGTGGGTTTTCTGTCCTCCAGCGTCCCTTATGGACGATGTGTATTGGCCTCTAGGAAGTCAGGAGAGAGCAGGAGGAGGAGTAGGGCTTAGGGAGGCAGATGAAGGACTCCTAGAGTGGAGCCCACACACACAGCCTCCGGCCCAGTGCTGCTGGTGCCTAGAGCCAGGTACCCCGGTGTGTGTGTGTGCGCACAGCTGGGTGCGGTGATACACACCTTTAGGGTGGATGCTCTGTTTGTCTCCCTCTTCGTCACCCTGATTTCATGTTTGTTCTTCTCTCTTTATCCATCCTTGTCCTTTTTTCCCCTCTCCAGGTAAAATAAACACCTCTTCCAGCGCTGCCTTCAGTCCTCCTCTCCCCCAAAGCCCCAAGACCCAGCTGATGTCCAGCTCCGTTGTTCTCAGGATGGCTGACTTCAACATCTACCAGGTCACTAAAGGCATACGCTGACACACCTTCATGTATCAAATCACTGAGGCTCCTCCTCACTAACTTTAGTAATAAAACAAAAAATAATCTCCATGCTATTTTTTAGCAATATTTCAGAACTAATCTCTGATCATACTCACATGCCTATAAAACCCATATCACATAACCACAGCAGTGTTTCCCCTAGGATGGAGTCATAGCAGCGGCGCTAAGGCACGCGGGCCTAGCAAAATGTGAGCGTGGAGCGCGTGTAATTTTTTAGTGTTATGTATGCGAAGTGCGCACCGCCAATATGTTTCTGTGTACATACAGTGGCAATATCTCAAGAGATTTAGCAAAATACACCTTTATTGAACATACAGTAACACAAATACTACAAATCAAACAATCAAACATCTATTTAAAAAAAAATGTTTAATTGTGCCGCCGCTATTTGTATATTGGCAAAACACTGCCCAGGAAGTTGATTTGATACTTAAGATCTACCTCTCTTTCCTACACAGACACCGTCACTCAAACAGAGACAAATAAAGTGGGTGGAAGAATTATATTTTTTGGACTTCAATAGTCCCCGTTTTATGTTTTCGGATATGCATCAGAAGTGGGTATGCTCAGTGTTAACAAACATGCAGCAGCTATGCATTATTTAGCGAAAGGTTACCAGTGTGGATGGACAGTAGCTGTAGACCACACAAATCTTCATTGTTAACTTTCAGTGATACTTCTTGTGCATTGCAGGTGTCGACAGCAGACCAGCGCCGCTCCAGCCCCAAGACCATGATCTCCTGCAATAAGAAGTCCCTGTACCTTCCCCCAGAGATGCCAGCCATTCATGTGGAGTTCACCGAGTACTACTTCCCTGATGGAAAAGACTACCCGAGTAAGACTTCTGTGTTTTAGCATCTTATTTTAGAAACATTCCTTTTTATTACTGTCTCATAAACTGTGTTGGTAGATGTTTTTACAATCCCACCGTTCTGGCTGAGACTTCCTAACCCTCCTTACTTTTGGATCCATTCATCTTCTTTACACTGTGGGGAAGTCATTGGCTGAGTGTCTGATTGATTTTCGCCCCAGTGTTCTGAATGAAAAATCATCCAATCAATTCATTCTTGGATTTCTCACAAATTCTCTCCATTAGGGAAAATGTTACCAACACTTGATGTTTTGCTTTTTTTGGCATGAAGTGGAGCTTTTGTTCCAATCAGTGTGAAAATGCCTCATTCCTCCTTTCTCTAAGATTCAAAAAGATGTGTAACTAACGATATATCTTTCTTACATTCCTCTAGTCCCGTGTCCTAACCTGTACGCCCAGCTGAACGCCCTGCAGCTGGTTCTGGATCCCCGCAGCCTGGTGTGGATCAACCTTTTCACCCTCGACCTCAGGCAGAGTCTGGAGGCGTTCATGGAGATCTACAAGCTCAGCGACTCGCAGAAACCTGAAGAGCATGTGGACATCAAGGTGGACGGCCTCATGCTGAAGGTAGGATGGACACAAGACCTCTTTTTGTTTATGTTTAAAGTGTGAAATGTATAGAGTGTTGCAGGGATCATTTTTCATAGGCCAACCCCAAGAAGATTTCTCTAATAGAGCAGAAAGGAAAGCTCTGTTGCAGTATACAACATATAAAGGTTTGGAGATATTAGTAGACAGTAGAATTGCCAGAAAAAGGAAAAAATCAACCACACCACTTTTCTCAATTTTAAACTCTTTAATGCAATCACCAGAAGTAAAAAGCTAGCGTTACACTATAAACAAACTAAATCATAGTCGCATGGTTTTACAACCACTAAGCTAAAGGCGGACTCATTCCTGCACCCTATTCTCGTGGTCTTATGCTAACAGCGGTTCTTCTCTATTTAGCTGGTGATCCCCACCGATCAGGACACTTCCTGTCCCCCCGATCTGCCTCGCTCTATCTCAGTGCAGACGTCAGAAATGGTGGCCACGAACACCCGGCACCCGGCGAACTGCACCCGCTCCCACCTGGAGGCCCTGCTGCAGGCGTTTGAACAGGAGCCCTTCTTCTCCCCCTCTTTCTCCTCATTCCCTCGCTCCTCCTCTTCCTCACCCCTCCTCCATCCGGTCTTTCAGCGCCACGCTCACGAACAAGACACCAGGCTGCACGACATCTACCGGGGCCTGGTGGTGCCCACGTTGGGCACGGACGCCCTCAAGATGCCGGCCGCCGCGGACTTTTGGGCGTTGCACTTTGCACAGTTCTGGGTGGACTACGAAGGCACCCGGGGGGGAAAGGGGCGGCCGCAACCCTTTGTGGACTCCTTCCCCCTGACCGTGTGGGCGGGTCAGCCCGCCAAGATCATCCAGCACCAGGAGAGACTCAGAGAGGGGTTGTCCCGGAGCACATCTGGAGAGGCCTTGGCTCGTCTGCAGAGGAAACGACTGTTAAAGGACTTTTACAGTACTGAGGGTGTTCAGGCACAGAATGCAACTCCGCCTCCCAGTAACGGACTCCATAAACCCCTCTCCTTGGACAGTCTGCCTTCCTCCTCCTCCTCTTTGTCATCATCAGGGAAAGATCCAGATGTGCAGATATTGGTGCACGTGCAGAAGCATTTAAGTGCTCAGGTATGTTTTTATCTCCTTTTATTTATCAAATGTATTAATATTACACAATATACAAATGGATACTTTATTCATCCCAAATTTGGAAAGTATTGTATAACTGCAGCAGTGTTGTCAAGCATTACACATGACTTAAAAATACTTAAAAGATATAATAAGATACTGTACAAATATAATAATAACTAAAGATTACCATTAACAGCACATATTTACAAAATGACAGTAGAAAAGACATACAGCGCTAGAGTATCTAAAAAATAGACAATATAAAGAAAATACTGAATACATTTGAACACTCTACAATATACAATTTCAAATGCACAATACATGGTGAGAAACTTGGACTGGATAAATGACTCTTTTAATGTATCGATTCACAAAAAAGTGTTTATGAACACATGGAAGTGGGTTAGAGTGATACTTGTACTGCTGCCTGTAGAGCACAAATCGGACCATAAATGCTAAACCTGGGCGAGGCAGTATATTTTGGAAATCATTGGGCAATTTTTTTTCATAATGGTCAAATCCCAGTTGACATTGAAATGAATGTAGTTGTATGTGTTACTGTATTTATAATAACTACTTCGCTGTGTGTTCAGGTGAGCCACCGGCAGTATGTGTTCCTGATGCATCTGCAGCGCAGCATCAAAGCCCTGCAGCAGACTCTGCAGCAGGATCTAGAGGCCATGGGCTCCAAGAAGGACCGCAAGGACCCCTCTGAGGATCCCGCAGACCACCAGCCCTTCACCGTCTGCCTGGGCCTCCTGCTCAAAGGCGCCGAGGTGTCCCTGCTCCTGAAGCCCATCCCCCATCCTGAGGGGTCTCGCTCTCCGCTGGGGTCCGAGCTCTCCCCCTCAGACAGCCGAGGAACTCTGGAGCCTGGAGGTGAGGCGGGAGAGGGGCTGGAGAGGGGGATTGAAGGAGGAGGGGCCTGCATTGTGGACCAGCTGTTATGCGGTGAGGGCTCCGAGGGTCCTGCCCCCCTTGTTCCCAACTCATCATCACGTCCAGACTCGGATCACAAAGCCTTACTGGAGGACAGGACTTCAGCTAAGAACTCTGGGAGGAGGAGTTCAGACGAGGCGGGGGAGGCGGGAGCAGACGGTCTGGCAGGAAATGAGGATTTGGGACTGGACTCCAAGACGGGGGACCCCCTGTCCGACTGGAGCGACAAAGACAAAGCCGGCAAGATGCCTCAGTCTGTATCCAGGTATTCAGTCTATCACACCAAAATGTATATATTAATACATTATGATCAGTAAAATCATGAGAATTAGAACATGTACGGTGTTACAACAGCAAGAGTGCAGAGGGATTAATAGGAGTACACTTACATAATATATCAAATAGTAGGCACATGTTATTATAAATAATAAGTAAGAAAAATACATACAAAATAATACATTATATACCTATATAATATAAAAAATATTTGCACGATAGCGTACTAAATGAAAAATGATACTATCTGTGAGCTTTTAAAATAATGTTCTCGGATAATTAACAATAACTGTTAGGAATTTAAAAGAATGTACCGTGATGGCGGTAAACGGATGCAAATCTAGTTGTGATTTAACTGGACTGTGTGTTAAACAAATCAAGACATTTCAAGATCCAGCATTATATCTTACATTCCATTATAAATGAAACTGTCATTGTTCAGTCTATGCAAAGATAAAACATTTTGCTATTGAACTATTTCTCACTCTTTTTAGACTTTCACTCATCCATGACCCACAGATGGATTGAGAAATTGCAGCCCTTTTTTAAAAGAAAACATATAATCCAAGTTATAATTAGTTCCAGCTTTAAACATTTCATCAGTGAATCCAAATGCCCCCCTCTGTGGTTCACTGGATGACTCTAATGAATGAGCCTGTCTCTAATGGAGTCTGTCTGCTCCTGAACACAAGAGCTGTTTGTTGTGCTTCCACATGAGTCCGTCAGTATGAATGCTCAGACTTCACGCCTCTCTGACTTTGTGAATGTTGGCTGACTTGCTCTGTCTTCCTGTGTGTGTTTTCTCATCCACTGTTTTCATATTCACTCTGGTAGCTTTGTAGGCTATTTGGCAAATGTCCTTGTTAGTTTATGACATATTCAATCAACCTCATCCTGTTCTTTTTCAGTTTCAGTTCGGCCTTTGAGTCTTATCTTATATCAAAACCGCAACTATTTGTATATTTATTTTTGCCTTTTTTAGTCAAAAGGTTCTATTTACCATTTAAATTCATCTAGTTTAGCCACATAATACCACATTGTTTCTTTTCAGAAGCCCTGAGGTTGTCATAAATGTCAATAAACAGACTTTTCAAAGACTTTAATTTTTTTAAACAAAATTTTAAGACTGTCTTTTTCCGTCAACAATATTAAATATTGATATAATCACAGTTAACCTTATACCAATGTAGTCATTGTCTTGTTATCGTCATGGAAGTTGATAAACAACATACAGTATTTAGTCATAGTTAAGGTTTACCGAATGAACACTATTCTTCATCCCTTCATATTCCTTCTTTCTTAACCCATTCACTTATTTTTCTGCCTTGACCTTGGCTTTGACCCTTGCGAGGTGTGTGTGTGTGTGTGTGTGTTTTCTCTCTACCAAGGAAAGGAAGTTTGTCTGTGGTTTCTGATCTCCTCAGCTCCTCAAACTCCAGCAGATCCACCTCCCTTTATTCCATGTCCAACATGTAAGGCACTGGATCTGTGATTAGCTGCGATAATGAGTGTGTGTGTCTCTCTGATCCTTGTATGAATACAAATCAGTTTAAATGTGTTTGTGTGAATCCCCTGAGGGCATGCCTCTGCATGTGTGCATGACACGCTGGTCCTCGTCTGTGTGTTAAATGAGTCCTGTGTTTGGGGTCTACCTGTGTACTCGTGGTGATGGAAAATGAAGCTCCCTTTTGTGACGTGTCTTTTCGTTTGAAGCCTTGTGTTCTCAGTCTGCAGGGAGCCACTTTGATTTATCTGTTGTGATTTTCCTGTAGATCATTTCCTGAGCTTTGGAGGAAAGCACACTTGATTATTTGTACATGACCTTAAACAACACCACACAAAGAAATGAAGCCATGTTTAATTCATGATTTGCAGAGTAAGCCCTGACAGCCTCTGCGCCCTATCAGATTAAACAATAGAAAAGCACCTGCTTTCTTTAAAAGCAACATTAAATGCCAATCACTCTTAAATCATCTGAGTTGTTGCGTGAGTGTTGCCCAAACAAATAAAGAAAGATATGATTTAAAATGAACTGTCTTTCACACACTTCATCTGTGTTGTAGTGGTCGTTTGATCCGAGACCGCTCCCAGTCCAGTTTCGCTGTGTCCTATAAGAACATGAAGAAGAGCCCGTCCCTGCAGTCGCTGGACAACATCTCCATAGACAGCTACCTGATGGAGGACGGAGACACGTACAGTCTGCTGGAGAGAGGTGGAGCACACTTTAACACACAGAAATACCTTTTTTAATCCAACTGATTGTGGATATATTACATTGTATGGTAATGGTATATTGAGACACACCTAATTGCGCATAAAGAATTCTGTGTTCTCCCCTAAGCTCTAGGAAAAAACATCTAACAGAGAGAGGGAAGAGCTTAAATCCTCATACAATGAGCAATTAAAAATGTTTTCTTTTATTCGATGCAAGTCACATAATGAACAAAGCATGTTTTCTTTATAGGAACCATTAAGCTGTACAAGAAGTACATTTTCAGTTCCAGCATCACTGCTCTGTAGCTCTTAAGGACCTCTGTCCTCTGTGATTAGGGGTAGATACAGAAATCTTTTAATCTTTTAAATATCCTTACTGCACATATACTGGTAGGATACTATGTTGACCAGAAGGGGGCAGCATTGCTCTGATATCTCAGTGTTGGAAGCTTCTTTAGTCCCATGATGTATTTCTAAAACATGACGATGCAAAAAAAGCTAGGGAAAAAAAGTGTGTATTTTCTGTGTAAATAATATTTGTTTGATGTGGTGACCAGATGACGTGTCCATGTCCGGCTTCAAGGATGCCATCAGCGAGCAGAGTGCCACTGAGAGCGCCACGGAGGCAGCCATTGGTCCAGAGCAGGAGGGGGGCGTGTCCCCCGACACCGTCAGCGCCACCTCCCAGAGCATCGACGACCCCACCAAAGATACAGTAAGATAACAAAGCTTTCAGAAGAGTAAAAAGTTAAGAAATCAACTATTATACATCCTCCACATTGTGGATTCAAGATTCAAAGGCTTTATTGTCATATGCACAGTAGCTACAATGTAGTTATGGCAATGACAATCTTAAGTCAAAGACTCCTCCAACGTTACAACATAAATATATATAAGACATAGAACAATAAACAAGTGAAAAAAAACTATAAAAATACTTCAAGGAATGACAGAATATAAATACAATGGTGCAAGAGAATATTGCAATACTACAGTGCAAGGAGTTCAGGAGATATACATGTAGAATAGACTCATGTAAAATAAAATACTGTATTGTGAAATAAAATACTGCTAATCTTAATAATAAAAAAAGATGTGGCACTCAAACAGATGAAGGGTAAAAAATGAACTTTACCGGGAGGTCAATATTGAGGTCATTATACTGCCTCTACATTAATAGAACTAGAAATTCAGTGCAGTAGGAAAATGTGTGGAGGATTTTGAAATCCCTGGTGTTGGTTTCTCATTGTATTGCTCTCGTCTCCTCCAGGTGTCGGTGCTGGTGCTGAAGGTGCAGTCGGTGTGTGTGAGCATGGAGGCGTTTGGAGAGAGCACGGCCGTGGCTCTGGAGGTGGGCCGGGTCACCCCCACCCAGCTGGGCAACGTCAGCCTGAGACAGTACCTCAGCAACCGCAGCCTGGGTGAGAGGAAGTCTGCAGCCATGTGATATGCTGCTGTTCATTTGATGCTTGTAGTTTATTTATATGTGTTACTTTGTTTATTGGACTTTCCATCAGACAATATTACACCCTAAAACTATTGTGACTGTTTGGCAACATTTGGAAACAGTACATTGTGAGATAGCTGATTACATCAAACTAATCCACTCAAATAAACATTTGAAACACAACAGGCTGCAACAACTAAAGATGAAAGTGAAGGGGCCTTTGTCGAGATTTTGTGTGTGTGTGTGTGTGTGTGTGTGTGTGTGTGTGTGTGTGTGTGTGTGTGTGTGTGTGTGTGTGTGTGTGTGTGTGTGTGTGTGTGTGTGTGTGTGTGTCAGTAATGGAGTGAGTGGACCCATTATTTGCCACATTAGTCTCACAGCCTTAAGTGTGTGTGTCAGTCTGTCAGATTGAAATGAACTGCAGCCGTTTGTGCAGACTGATGTTAACCCCTGGTCTCCACATTCTCTGCTCGGCCTAATTCCTCCCCTCTCTCCCCGTCTCCTCCCCCTTTCTCCCCTCCTTCCTCATCTCTCCACTGCAGCAGACTTTGCAGTTTCCCTCCAGTGATTCAGGCAATGAGAGAAACGCCAACTTTACCTCTCCTCCTCACCCCCCTATCTCACAAGAGCAATCCCTCCTCCTCCTCCCCTCTTCCCTCCAGCTCCTCCATCTTCCTGCTAATCCTCTCTCATTTAACCTCCCCTCTCTTCACCTTTTCCTTCCCCTTCATCTCCCTCCCTCTCCAGGCCATCTTCCCTCCCCTTGTCTTATCACAGTCACTCAGTCACCGGCTGCTGGCTCCCCCTTCTCTTTCTCTCTCCATTCGCCTCAACCCTATAGGATGGAGAGAGAATATGTCATTTTATCTGAGAAAAGCTGACAGCATTGTGTGTGTGTGTGTCTTGAAATTGCTCTTTGGGATTAACCTTCTGCTAAATTTCCTTCAGAGAGCGTGTTAAAGGGACGCGATGCACTTCTCACAGTCATAATAAACAGATTTCTTTCTTTAAGTGGCCATTTTCATACCCCGGCGTGTGCTTTCCAGCTCAATTTGTGTGTTAAGTTTGTGTGAAAGAAAGGTTTTAATTACCCCTAACACTCAACAAACCTCGACTTTCATCAGTTTGTCTCCACCCTCACTTCCCCATTCACCCCTTTTAATAAACAGGGATTGTATTATCAAATGAGTTGGTAATAAAAGTTGAATTCCGTTCTCAATAAAGTCTAACACCATCAAATCTTCAGTTCTCAGCATTTATAGTGTCTCAGACAGAGTGGCTCAATGGTTAAAACTTCCCTTTGAATCTTCAGTTCTTGGTGGGTGTTTCCACAGAACCCTCTAATCCCTAGTCCCCGGAAATAATGAAACATCACTGCAGCATGAGGCCGTGGGATTGAACAGAATCTCAACTCTCCTCCAGCCCACCTTCTTCCTTAATTCCTTCCTGCTTCTTTCTTTCAGCTCACTTTGTTTTTTTCCATGATTGAAACTCTCTCTCCCACTTCTCTTTCAGATATTCTGCTTCCTTCATCCCACTTCTGTCTTTACACTCCTTTAAACCTGGCCTTAACATGCACCCTTGTAGCGAGCAAAATGACATAAATCCAACTCTAATGCACTAAGTATGTCCTGATTATGATATTATTATGATAGATATGTATTTTTTAAACAAAGTGAAATGAATAAATTGGACCTCCATCGAGCATGTTTTTGATCAGTCTGTGGTTTTATATGATCAGACAAATCCCATTTGTTAAGATCATTAAGTGCAGATAAGTCATTACAATATTTCAACAAAATAATAGATTTAAATAAAGATTTTTTTAAAGACGGCAAACCACTTTGGTGCTTTTTTCTTCAATGTATTGTTAGTTATAAGCCAATATCAACATCATGCTAATATATCTGCTATAACATTATATGTTTTAGCTCTAATACCAGGCTATGTGCTTTTAATACACAATTTAAGTCAAAAAGCAAATACGTGTTCTAACAGGATTCATGTGAATTAGACAGAAGAAAGTCCTGAATCTCCTGTTTCATTTTGGGTGTATTTTAAAGTCAGGTGTGTGTGTGTCCTTCAGCTGAAGCAGACAGCAAGCTAAAGATAACGCTAACCTCCTTCCTCTCCTTTGCCATCAGGTGGAGAGACCCGCTCTGCGGCCCCCGGGGCCCTCCACAGTCCGGAGGTGCGGGCTCGCCTGGAGAGCGGGCCCTGCGCCGCCGCTCACTCCCCGCTGGCCGAGCGCAACGGCTTCCTGCAGCTGCGTCTCCACGGATACCAGGCTAACTTCCTGATGTCCACGCTGCGTAACATGGCCAACTTCCTGGAGGACGACTCGGCCCCCCAGGTGTTGCCCATGGAGATCAGCGTCAGGGACACACACGTCAACCTGAAGGTGAGACTTAGCTTTGTTTATCATGGGGTCTCCTTAATAGCCTTCCTTTGGTCCACACTTAAAAACACACATAAAAAAATACAGTCAACACAAATGGAAAACTTGACTGGTACTCACAGATAAAACTAATAGGAATATGTAAAAACTGATGACTGATTCAACATAGTTCCGATCTAAACTACAAACCCCCATGGTATCCTAAAAATATGTTTTTTCAGCGCACTTTTAAACATTTATTTCTGAGGTTATTGAGTCATAACACTGCCATCACTTAGCAATCAGTGTTTGCCTAAGGGCCTGAAACTGTTGCAGTCTGGTGACACGTTCAGATGACTCTAAATAGTTTTTTAATTGAGGATATCAATATGAAGGAATCCCTGATGTTTTGTACATTGTTGTACTTCCAGCTCCTTGGATTCACATTTTAGTTTTACCCTCAGGTCATTGTTGCAGAAACACCTGCATGACTGAATATTTGTCCTATTTTTTTTGTATCCATTTGTGTCGCAGAGTAATAGGCCCCATAACTCACCGGCGTTCAAGTTAAATATTTTGAACCGCGGCCTAATTGGAAGTTGGATTTGAACCGAATGCCTAATGACATAGAAAGGCCACTCCATGGGGTTCCTTCACAGCTGAGCAGATTAGCTGCGGAACTGAAGTGGAAACCTGGATGTGGATCATTCTCTCTCTCAGCGCCTTCCTCCTCCTCTCACATATCCAAACTTTTCCCTCCACCCTGAACATGTGCTGTCTCTGCTGCAGGACGACGGCCCCCGGGACAACCCCTCTGACTCGGACCCCTCGCCCATCACGCTGCACGTGGACAGCCTCATCATACACAGGAGGGACGACGGCTCCTTCTCTATAGGAGGTGAGAAACACACACATCCTCTTCAGCGCTGATTCACCACCGTTGTATAACACGTAAATGCTTTTAAATCTGCGCTCGGTGCATCCACACCTCCTAATTCCCTTCTGTTGTCTCTCCTCTCCTCACAGTGGACACAGCAACGGAGACAGAACCCGGGAACGAGGGGTTGTTGAGTGACGGCGCTTTGACTCCGGTTCCTGAGGTTGGACGTGTGTTCTGCGGAGTACCAAAGGCTACACAGACCCAAGCTCTGCCCAGCAGCCCTCTGCCGTCTAACAGAGATAAGGTGAGACGCTACGGTGACCAGGTGGCAACATGTGGGACAAAGAGTACGTTTGTACGGGACAATGCAGGACGTGGTACTGCGAGGATAAGAGCTAGTTTAGATTTAAATATAAAGTCTATCTAATCAGAATCAGAATTATTATGAAATGTTTTCTTCTTAACCCTTAAAATAAACATTTCTATTATAGATTATAAATATTAACGACAACACTTGGGATAATTGTTTGCTCAGACTATGCAAGTGAAGGAATTCACATCATTTGGTTTGAATGGATCTTTTTCCCAACAAAATATTGTCCGTAAACATTTGCGGGTTTTTTGAGTATGGAAAATTGAGCCGAGCTAATTTACTGCCACATTCTGCTGACCTCTAGGTGCTGCACAGTGTGGTAGACCTTCTTTATTTCAGCCTCTCTTACCTCATATGTTTGGTAATCCCAAGGAATGTATCCATGGATCGATATTTACTTTAAGAGACTGGCATTTCTTGTGAGTTTTGCATGTAGCATAGCTTCAAATCATATTCCCCTCTGTGACGTCACTTTTCGCCAAACTGCATTGTGGGAAGCGGAGCTCTGCTGGCGTGGCTCGCTGGAAAAGTTGAGACATTTTCAACTTTTGAAGCTTCTGAAGCTTTGGTGGAAGCATCAGCCAATCAAATCCCGTTTATGCAAATCTGCCAGTACAAGCGCTAGCCAATCAAACTGCGTGTATGCTCCAAAAAATGGAGGAGAAATTAATCATAGCGATAGGGAATCACCCAGTCTTGTACGATCAGTCCCTGTTCACCTACCGGGATACAAACCGGAGGAGCCAGGCATGGAGGGAGGTGGCAGAGATAGTGCGTGAAACTGGTAGGTTTTCACCTGTTTGGGGAGTTTATATCCAGTTTACTTCGTTAACTGGATGTCGGGGGCGGGAGATTGGTGTGATTGGTTGTTGGTCGCGTTGCTCGCGAGAACTCCCCAAGCTTCAAACACGCCCACCGCCAAGCTTAAACGCACGTCGCTGTGTGGACGGGCCGCAACAGTGGGAGTGATATTTATCAATTCAAGCAGAGTTAATACAATTCATTTTCAAATGGGAGATTAAGAGTGATCCGTTACAGAATGCTGTTTTAAGTCATCTGATCCACACAACAAAACGGGTCATTTCCTTTCAACGTGAGCTGATGTGTCACTGGCAGAAAGGTTTGTTGTCACATCTAGGGGAATTATTCACCGGTAATACAACTCAACAAACACAGAGACTCGCAGATTGATGAGCAAACACCGGTCGCTCTAAGTGTTGAATGTTCTACCAATGCTGCTGTGTTTCAGGTTTTCTCAAGACAGCCAACATGTTTGGTATCATTTTATGAAGCGGACATGTGGCGGCAATTATTATTTATTTCCATTTGATTCAAGATCTTAGAGGACTTGAAGCTTTATTATTGGTTTTCAGAATTTCAGTTTGACCATCTTACTGAGCTTTCACCACGTCTCATTGCCTTCATCTGTGGGTGGAGATTGCCATGACGGTAAAGCAGACAAAACCCAATGATGAAGGCTGCAAGATGAAGCTGGAATCTCATCCAAATGTCCAGAAGTGTGACTCCATTTTATGGTTTTCAAATGAAACAAAACGGACAGTGACACCTCCCCGTGTCTCCTCTTCCTTCTTTTTTCCAGATGCTGGTGGAGGAAAATGAATGTTTGAAAGTGGAGCTGTCCCGAGCCAAGATGGCGCTGGCGGAGGCTCAGATGGAGAAGGACTCGCTGCTGCACCGCATAAAGAACCTGAAAGTGAACAGCAGCTAGACCCGCCCCTCTCTCCTGTCACTCAGCCGCCCCTGACACTGATGGGCAGCATTTAAAATGAACGGCAACATCAACAAGCAGATAAAAAGACTAAAACGGCTCCCTTTACGCGCTTTTTTGTTGTTGAGCAAGCCACCATGTGAATTTAGACTTCAGAATAATTCCCTCATAAAGCAATGCAGAGTCTGTGTGAAGACTGATGTCCTCCACTTTGGACTGCGGAGGCTTGGAGAGAGAAAACACATGTGTGTGTGAGAAATAGGATAATAATCTATATCCGTGGCTGTGCCTACAGAAAACGTACACACACTATCCCTGTTGTGCATGTAAAACGGAAAAAAGAATCACAGCTGACCTTAGACTTAATTCAATCCTGTACAAATGAAGGAACACTGAATGTCGTATCTTCAGAAGAATGTCTAAAAAAGAAACAACTTATTTTGCAAGCACATAAATTATAATTGAGTGCTTTCATATTCAGAATGGACGAGACAAATCATGCTCTCTCTCGCCCTCCGAGTGTGTACAGTGTACATTGTATTAGAATGTGAACACATAACTATTTTCTTCAGATCCTCCAATGGTTATGCAGTGTTTCTTTTTCAATGTGTGTGTGTTTGTGTCGGCCAGTAACAAGCATTTCATTACAAATAGAGGATACATTTATATCTGTCAGTTCCACAGCTTTTTCAGCAAAATGCCCCCCCACAGTAATGTCTGTAACCCCCCCCCCCCCCCCTCCTATTTTTCTATGTGTAAATAGCTACTTATCATGTGCAGCACTTTTAAAACGGAAGCACTGTAAATAAAACCACAACTGTGACAGAACAAAAGTGGAGGAATAGGAACTAATGTGTGCTCCCTGTAAAAAAAAAAAGACACATTGAAGCTGCCTGACTACATATATGTGTGTCTTTATGTAGATTTCTTATATGCCATGTGTCATTTTTCCATGGATGAAGCGTTGATCATATCTGCTGCTGCTTCATGCCTTTGTGACGACTTCAGGGGAAACTCCTGAACAGATGTTACAGATGTTAAAAATGACAGCACAAAGGATTAAAAAAAAAGGACAGTTTGAGTTTTACAAACGTTGCTTTCATGTGTAGTTTCAGTAATTCTTCCAAATCTCAATATGCAACAATCATAACCTGAACTTTAGCTTGGCCCGGTTCATTTCAATTTCTATCTTTCCAAAAAACGATTCTAGATCCTGTAAAGACAGACTCTGCACAAACATGATGTCAAGACTTGAAGTGTCAGAGGTAGAATTTTAACACGATTGTATGTGAATAGATTTGTTTGATGGAGATGATTTTCTTTTTTATGCTTTTCCCCGCTCCCCTTTCTTTGAGAAACACCTAACACCCTCTAAACCCCTGTGGAGGAAAGAAAAGACACAAAGTAATACGTTGTATTTTGTCTGTCAAAGCTGCTGAAAGACTGCTGAAAATAAAAGGGTATCCAATTTCACTTTTGCATGTTTTATTTTTTCCCCCTTATCAAATATATCTGTGCTTCTGCAGAGTGCTTGGCTTCTCAACTCATTCCAATTGTTAGTGTTAACTATAACTACAGAAATGGGCCTAACTATTTTGATTATGATTTATAATTTTCCAAACTTTTTCAAGCAAAAACACCTAAAGAAGTGATGTTGCTAAAGGCAATGTATCAGCTTTCATTCTCTGTAATACATCTATGATTTTCCAACTTGTGTGCCTTGTTTGAAGCTTAAAGCACGAGTTCATTTAATGCAGCATTTCTGAGTTATTTAAAAAAAAAAAAAAACGTTAACTGCTGAAAGAAACTCTTTGAATTTTAGTGCAGCCTCAAATGAGCCGCACATAATCGCAGCAGGAGAGAGTTTGGACTTTGTGCACATAAATGGTCATGACATTTTAGTGTGTGTGTGTGTGTGTGTGTGTGTACACACACACACGTGTACGTACAAGTTCTGCTCTGCTGCTATTCACACGAACGCCTGTTTACATACTGTAGCTTAATGTTTCTGTGATGACGGTTATGTCACAGTGCAGCACCGGTTATGTTAGCAAAGCATACACATTCATTTATATACTGTGTGTGTGAGGTTGGGGGCTTATGTGCAGCTGGATTGCGGTTCATATGATGAAAGAGAGAGTCATCAGGTTGTGTGTTGGCTCAGTGTTCTCTGTTTCAATCATTGCTTTCTGTTTTATATCTCTGACGGAGTAATGAAAAGGTGAAATTAAATAAAATGATGGCTGAATTCCATCTAGGTGCTTCAGTTTGAAGCTAAGCTTGAGCAGGGCCTTGAACACATCCTAGCTTCTTAAATGTGAGCAATTCACCCATGTGTGGACATTTTATTCCATATTTTTTTGGATTTTGCAAATTTGGTTTGACTTATTGCAAACATTTACAAAATTATATCACTTAAATAATTAATGCAAGTGCAGGATCGAAAAGCTTTGCTCCATGACAGTGTGGGTAAAAGTATTTTTACCACAGCGTTAAAACTGCATTACAAGTAAAAGTCCTAAGTTGAAAATGTTACTAAAGTAAAAGTACAGAAGTATTATCAGCTAAATGTACTTAAGCATACAAAGTAAAACTACTCATTGTGCAGAATGCCTCTTATAAGGGTTATATCATTATACATTATTATATTATTCAGGCATATAAAAGCTTTTTAAAGGGGACATTTGTCAATATGGAGAAAATATTGGAAATTAATTTCCAACATTTCCGTGAAATACATTAGCCTAATTGAGTAAATGTACTCTGTTACAATCCACCACTGCTCCCTAATTTGCTCAAGTCATCATTCATCATTAATCATCAACAATTTTCTCGCTAAAATAACTTCCATTGAAACAATACATTTACAAAAGGAAGTGTAACAGCAACAATTTTTGCTAATCAGTTAGTTGTTTAATTTAGTTCTCAAGCAAAAATACAATTGACTTAATGGTGACAGGTTTTAAATCTGAATATGTTTTACACATTTCTAACATATCATATACTAAAGGAATAATAAATTAAAGGAAAAAAAAAAATTCTTATCCAAAAATACACACGTTTTGAGTTCAGACTGAGGGCATAGCAGCTTAAGGTAGAGCTCTTGAAGGCAGCACTTAGCTCTAAATTCCAATTAAGCAGCATGTTGAAGCCATCAGGCATGTCCCAGCATGCACTCGCGGCAGAGTGGGGCTGTCAGTGGACAGATCAGAGCACGTTACAAAAAATTCCATCTTCTGCCTTTATTCATAGAAACCCTGCTCTGAACTGACCGGGAGGCTATTTTAGGAACACACCTGTTACTAAATCCTGCAGCAATGAACACACATCCAGCAGGAAGAGCAACTGCGCATATCCGTGTTTGATACAATAAGTATGAAAAATATCCACAATAAGCACAGCTGGGGGATTTTAGTGTGACTTTCTACAGAGGCTAACAAAGGCATCGCCTCCTGTTGGTGTTGTGGCATCTCCATCATCCACGCCCAGACTGTACTGTAAATCAGCGGAAGTGGCTGGCGTGGATTTCAAAATAAAAGATTAACTTTGCATAAGGAGCATCCCTGATGCTTAGATACAAAAAAACTATATTTACTTTTGCAACATAATAGCCTTATTAATTTTCTCCAGAAATGTTTTTAATTAGAATTTGGCTTCTAATCAGGCCAGGCAAGCAAAGTAATTCCAAGCACATCAAAATTCAGTTTTAAACTATGTTTGGATTTGATAGATGGGGAAATTTGTATCTCTAAAGTAGGCTACTGTTTTAACATTATAGGGGCTTTCAGTGAATGATCTAGGTATCCTCTCGTCAAATAGTTTTCTTGCCTATGCTTGAATTGGCATACTCCCAAATGAATCTGTGTTTAATCAGGTCGTCTTTTTAACATTGGCCCCAAAGCAACATATTTTGCATATCATTTTTTACAAGAGAAAATCACCAAAAATGTGCAAAAGTAATGTGTCTTGACATGTAGTCGAACCAGTAGTAGACAATTATTATCAAGTGATTGTCAAGTTAATTTGGTAGCAATAAACTGTTAACCCTGGCTGTTTTTAACCTAAAAACTAAATGAGGCGTAATAACCTATGGTAATAACCCACGTTTTAAACAACTAAGACTTGCAAAAGCGGGTGTTTAACTGAAAAAAGTGTTGAAATAGTGGCGTTTAATTGTTTGCCTTATCTAAACTTAGCTAATGTTAACTTGCTAGCTTGGGATGCAACTTAAGAAGTCTTCAAGAGTATACACATATTTTATGGTGTCAGTATAATTGTATAGTAATACATTATAATTCATATTATCATATTAATATTATAATGTGTTATTATTAAGTTGCGTGTCCTTTTACTTTTTAGGAAAGCCGAATGAAGTTGTATTTTACTAGATTGTTAACATTAGCTAGCTAACTGCCGTGTTTTTCAATGGGCACTCATAAACAAACTGGCATATAATATGCAATAAAGATAAAATATCAAAATATGAAATAAGAACAAGATATATAAAAGACGAATGAAATGTTTTTTTCATGCCAGAGGCTGGTTGGCCAAGTTTGTAACAAATTGCGAGTTTTATTTTGAAAGCTGCAACAGGAAGTGCACATTAAGTAATCAGGCTAACTTGACACCTGTGTCTCAGAGGCACCGGCCAGTGCGGTAGGTTCAGGGCAGAGAGGTGGAGAGTACAGCGGGACCGGAGAGCTTCTTGTGGAGGCGTACAGGGTTTCACCTCCCGCTGGGTGTCAGCTGATGCTTCAGACCGGACAGGAGCCTCTGCTCGGAACGAGAAGGAGTTTTCTTTCTTTTGTAAACCAGGGTACTCTTTACTTTTGACTTCGCGTTTGCTTTGGAGCTCGCGGTTCTCCCCGCTGCGCTTGTTACCCTGAGGTTACACACGGGAGCCGTGCACGAGAGGAGATTTCGGAGCCGTGCTTGTGAATGGACTGAGGTTAGAAGGCACCAGGGGATAAGTGCATGTCAAACCTGCTCTGCGGCATCAATAACACCTATTTCACCGTGCAGCATGCAGCGAGAGGAGTCCTTTCAGATGCTTTCCCTCTCCAGACAGTGAGGGAATAAGGCTCGGAGAGGAGGAGGCACTTAGGATATATATGGGAGATTTGTTGGATTTCACCCCGTCGTTGTAAACTTGTGTCCGGGATGGGGAAGGAGCAGGAGCTGCTGGAAGCCGCCCGGACCGGTAATGTCGCCGTGGTGGAGAAATTATTGAGTGGGAAGAGGGGGATTCTGGGGTCAGGCTCAGGCTCCATCCCTCTGCCCAACCTACTGAGGTAAGAAGCCGCTCTCACCTCCTTCTCATGACCGCTAAAGTGTTTAGGGAGCCCTGGGGTGCTGCAGGGGATTCCTGGGGGGTTCCCATGCTGCAAAATTAGGCATTAGCTTCATCATGGGTCAATGCACTTTAAATGAGCCTAGGCACTCATCCCCCCAGCTGCAGTATGGAGTGTACAATACACATTCAGTAGCGTTTTTTCCATATTGGAACCCTAGATGTGGTGTTTAAGAGCTTTGTGGAACATGCTGCAGTAGAGGAAAAAAAGGAAATTAAGTCTGGTGATGCAAAGTCAAGAGAGTTGTGTGAGGCAAAGTGCACTTTAAGGCCCTTAGAATTGCTGCAGGCTAAATACACTTACTGTATCTGTGACAGAATGCATGCAAGGTCTCAGGGTGCTGGTGTTGGTCTGCTTGTTGTGGGAGTCACTACCGGCTGAGCACAAAAAGAACAGACAGTACCTTCAGCCTCCCTGAATCCGGCAGCTGTCAAAATGTGGATTTGTTGAACATGAGGACAAAAGCTTGGATGATGTTGCACTTGTAACCGCTGTAGAATGTCTTCATGCATCTTTTCTGTGGACCTTTTATGCTCAAGGCTTTCCAACAGCAACCATAACCTTCCTCTCTTTGTATTTATCGGCACTGTCATGGTGGTAAAGGTCTTTTTTTTTACAATAGCATTAGTAAATTGATCCTATAGACACATTTCCTTGGTTTTTGTAAAACACTGTCTGTTCAAATGATGCTCAGAAAGCCTGGCATGCAGGATGTGTAAGTTAGCTGCAAACAGCTCTTGCTTCTTTGTGCAAGAACAATGGACCAACATGGATTTCCCCAAAAGGTGATTTGTGGATTTGTGGATTAAGAGCAGGGATGTGAGGAGAGTGAGTGGATTTGTGGATTAAGAGCAGGGATGTGAGGAGAGTGAGGGAATGTTTGTTTGTAACAGGTGGCAACATGTTAGTTCACTTAGATTTCCCTCTATCACCTTGAACCCCTGACCCCTTGCTATGAAAATACCAAGTGAATTTTCCCAGTATTATTTTAGTATCTTGTGATGTGAATGCCTGGTGCTGTTCACTATTCAAAATAAACATTAAGAATCTTCCCAGGAATATTTCCTTTTCTTTACCCAACCCACAAAGGCTTGGATCTGGCCGCAAGAACAACTGCTGAGG